AATATACTTGCATTTTTTTTACTGAGTGCGTTGGCTACCACGTTGCCCTTGTTCGGGTGATACAAGATATTGCAATCGTAGTCCTTGAGGAGTTATATCCATCGTCTCTTACGCATGTTGAGATTCTTTTAAGTGAATATGTGTTTCAAGCTCTTATGGTCGGTATAGATATGAAAAGTCTCCCAATACAAGTAATGGTGCCAAGTCTTCAAGGTGTGGATAATCATGGCAAGTTCCAAGTCATTAGTGGAGTAATTTTTCTCATGACTCCTCAACTGCTTGGACCCATAGGTTATAACTTTTCCATGCTGCATCAGAATACAACCCAACCCCAAGTAGGAGGCATCACTATAAACTATGTATGCGTCTGTCTCACTCGGCAAGCCCAACATAGGTGCAGTAGTCAATCGCTTCTTTAGTTCTGAAAAATTCATTTCACAGTTCTCTTTCCACTCAAACTTGATGTTCTTTTTTGTGTGCCGGGTCAAAGGAGCAGTTAGGCTAGAAAATCCTTCAATAAACCTACAGTAATAACCTACCATCCCCAGAAAGCTACAAATCTCATTGACCAAGGTAAATTTCTCTCAACCAAGTACTGCCTCAACTTTTTAAGGGTTCACTGACACTCCATCCCTTAATATGATGTGCCCTAGAAAGGTAGTCTACTCGAGGCAGAACTCACACTTACTCAACTTTGTATACAACTTCTTTTCTTTGAGAACCTGCAAAACCTGAGTCAGATGGTGAGCATGTTCATCTCTGCTTTTTGAATAGACCAGGATATCATCGATAAATACAATGACAAACTGATCTAGGAATTATCTGAAAACTCTGTCATCAAATCCATAAATATGGCTGGTGCATTGGTTAGTTTAAATGGCATGATCAGGAACTCATAGTGTCCATACCTGGTTCGGATAGCTATTTTGGGAATGTCTTATGCCTTGATCTTTACTAGATAGTAAGCTAAACGCAGATCTATTTTAGAAAAGATATGGGCATCCTGTAATTGATCAAACAGGTCATCGATCCTGGGGAGGGAGGGGGATACTTATTCTTGATCGTGACCCTGTTCAGTCACCTGTAGTAAATACATAACCTTAACATTTCATCCCCCTTCTTTGCAAATATGATTCCAATACCCCAAGGGGATATACTATGTCAGATGAACCTACTATTTTACAATTCATTGATATGTTTTCTCAGCTCTTCCTTCTCAATATGACTCATGCAGTAAGGAGCAATCGAGATAGGTTGGGTGCCCGGCTGAAGATCTATGGTGAATTCAGCTTCTCTGTCCATTGGCGGTCCAGGTAGTTCATCCGAAAACACATCCAGAAAGTCTCAGACTATTGGAATCTCTTGAATACAAATTTCTTTCTTAAATTTTTTCGGTGTAGAGAAAACAACCGAGTTAAAGCGCTATGTAATAAGAAAATTACTATGAGGGAATAATATTTAAAACTCTTTTTTTTTAGCTTGTAAATGACTCTTTGTTAGGAGACTTAAATACAATTTTTCTCATAGAAATAATTTAGGGTGGCGTGATATGCCGATAACCAGTTCATTCTTAGAAATACATTAGGGTCCCCCATGTCAATCTCTATCAAGTCCATCATGGGTGAAACTGAGTCCCATGGAAGAGGGTTCAGATGTTACTGGGGAGGGACTGGGTGGCCTTGTAACAATGCCGGATGATACGATGGGGGCTCTAAATTGTATTGTAACAGTGTCGGATGATACGATGGAGGAGTAAGGTTACATCGAGGTGGCATTAGATCCTCTCGTGGTAGGGGTAGCTCATATTATGGAACTAGTGGAGGATTAAACAGTTCCCTCCTCTCTTCCCTAGCCTACTGAGCAGAGATGAGTCTCTCAAAAATCTCGAAGAGTTGATCGACATCCTCTCGAAGCAACTCGTCTTAGGCTGCCCTGTTCAGTAAGGGACCTCATCTTCTCGTGTCTTTATACATATTTTTCACAAAAAAAGTTGGGCAATAATTCGTATTTGGTATTTTTAAGTCTTTGTGTAAGGAATAGTTATGAGAAACGCGACTCTGATACCAACTGTAAAGACTCGGGACTTAAAAGGAAATAAGGTCATAAATTAAGTACGGAAGCAAAATAATAGAGTTTAGGGTTTACATTCCTTACACAATAATTTAGAATGCCCAATAGGGCTGCGGGAATGACCCTTTTAAAAGAACAAGTAAAAATTAAAGAAATAAATAAAAGACAGTATATTGAGCATTCTAGGACGACATTCGCTAGCTTTTGAAGGGAGTTCGGATGGTAAACTATTCACAACTCTCTTGTTGATCGGGATCTAGGTCTTGGTCCTCTTGATATGAAATAGTTAATGAAAGGATGAGTTACACTACCCTAGTAAGAGTATCACATTACTCACCGATACAGAAACTGAAGGTTGGTAAAAATTATAAAAATAATAATGGAGTTCTTGATTTAAGTAAATTCATTTATCATACGAAAAAACCATTTATTGCATATATTTACTGTTGCGAGATTTCTAAAATTGACCTATAGAGATACAATAATTCAAATAACATTTCAATCTCATTTTCAAGTGAGCAATAGCAACTACTTTCCCTTTTGTTGCCTACTGGCATCCCTGGGGGCCCATAAGGATGTTCCACTATGCATGAACCAATATTCAACATTGTCAACTAATCGGCCGTCCCCATACCTCGTCCGGTATAGGTGCCAAAAATACCATCGCTCAATACCCCATTCGGTATAAGGGTGAATTGGGCTGTCTCCATACCCCGTACGATATGAGGTAACATTCACGGTAGGATTTTTTATGTACCTAGTCCATCCACCATCTCCCAGGATATCCAGTAAGACTACCATTCATTAATTCATGTGACTAATCAATTTTCCGTTTGCATATTAATTTTCAATTTCACAAATCAATCATAAATTATACAAGACAAGCAATATATATATCAAGGAAGCGCAACTGAACCATTTAACCATTCCAGTATATTATCATGCATTTAAAGCTGTAAATTCAACAATCAGTTAAACAAGACAACAAATAAATGACTAATCGTTTTTAGCTCCATTAGTAACCTGTAATTATTCTCAAAGTTTTCAAAATTACACAAAATACCATATTATCAATTATTTAGCTTCGATTCCATAACAGAGAATAAGGTGAGAGATTTTTACTCGAATTGGTGTACGAAATACTGAACTTTCTACTGCGCCTACTGGCGGTTCCCCGGTTTCCTGAGTTTTTATGCGGAGATTAAAACACACTTCACGTACCTAAAAATACCCAAAATCAATGTTAAAAACTTTTTTCGGCCAATTTTAAAATTCTGGGCGGCAGCGGTAATTTGCCTCGGTTGGTCGTTTTTGGCCAGTTTTGACTAGTTTTGGTCGGTTTTATACTCATCCCTACAAGAAAACACGTTAGAGAGCCTCGGTTGGCCGAAAAAAGTCAAAAAACGGAAACCTACCGGCGGTAAAATTTTTCGGTGTGGCAACTCTGTTTGCTCACCTTCGTGGCTGGACATTTTTCTTCGGTCAACTTGTAAAAAATAGAATGGTGAACAGAACTGTGGAAAAATCACAGGAAACGAAAAACAGGAAGGGGCTCATCAAAGGAGGTTTCGTGTTTTACCCACGGCAGCACTGCTGGACTTTATCCACGATTTCTGGCTCATCCGCCGTTTCTTTTGCTGCAATTTGACCATGGGTGTGCTTAAAATCAAATTCTAAGCGGATAAAAGAATTTTTACCTCTTTTGGCGGTCGGAGGTGACTCCGGTGCGACAGCGGACGACTGGTGGCTCCCTTCTCCAGTGACTGGTTCTTTTTCTCCGGTGGGAGGTTGGCGACTAGGGTCTTGATTTGGTGTGATGCGAGATATTTATACCTGTCTTGCATTAATCTGGACCGTTTATCGCAATTGATCTCAACTGTCCGATCGTATTTAAAGAAAAAATGAATATAGACCGTTCATCGCGATTTCATCTCGACCGTACGATCACGTTTAAAGAGGAAATGAATCTGAACCGTTCATTACATTTAATCGTGACCGTCTGATCATGGGGCACGCGGATCGCTGCGTAGCCTCTTGCATTGCATCGAGTCAGCATTCCTTATCACGCGGCGCGCTCTTTTTTTGTCAAGGCTGCTGACTGGGCTGTCCTATATGTCACAATTTTTTTTAATTCTCCAATTTCTAATTTTTCTTTCAAAAATACCATCTAAACCCAAATTTTCACCCATTTTTCCCAAAATTGTTTTCAATTTCACCATCAACCTATTTTTTTTCATAATTTCACATTTAATAAAAATTTATTAATTTTAAATTTAGATTTTTATATATTTTTTAAATTTAAAATTAATTCTAGGTCAAATTTCGAGGCCAAGTATTACAATAACGGAAGAAATCTTCACGTTCTGCGGTAGATCTTCTAAATCAACACGTGATCTTATGAAACTTTCAAACTATCGTTTTTTCTACTGATAAGATAATAGGAAAAAATAAACCCTTCCGTGTAATTTGGGGACCATAATTTCTTTTTATATCCTTAATTTTTATTATTTTTTTATTTAGCCCATCATAAAATCATAAATAACACTTTTGTTCTCTGCACATAAAAAGAGCCATACACTTTAATTTGGTGCATTAAGGCCCAAACTACTTTTAATTGTAGCAGATCACTTTAAACAAGCCTTATTAAATTGATAACTTTTTATGCATAATAATCTCACATATAAGCCCATACGGTTGATTAAAACCCAATAATCTCTCACTTGAGATATATGTGTTACCTTATAATTGTGCATTAACAACTTTATGATTACGAAGAATTTTGCTATCTGTAACATCCCTTAAAATTAAACATTTAAATTTTTGGGTGTTTTATAAATTTTTTTAGATAATTCAGGGGGCTTCTGCAAATTTAAAAGGGCTTAGGAACTTAAATGAAAGAAAATTTCAAAATAAAGAAATTAATCCCTAAATCCAAAACTATCCCATCAAATTACAAATAAACTTGCATTTGCTGAATTGAAAAGAGAAGAGAGAATGGAGCGGCGAGAAAGAGGAAAAGGGAGAGAGGGTTGATCGCACAAGATGAGAGGGACAAAAAAAGAGAGAGAGAAGGGGAAGAAAATTGAGGAAACATGGAGGTCGGGTGAAAAGAGGGTGATAAATCGATTCACGAGCAATTAAGAGAGAGGAAACTGCATCAGTATACAGCACGAAGGAGACGGCTCAAATGGGGACTGCTATTGCAGGCAAACACCAGGCAAAAACAGGAGGTAAGACAAATTTGGGATTCAAACCTCAAATTTGAGATTTGTACTTTAATTTCTTACATTGGGTGAGATATATGATTGCTCAAGAGTTGTGTATATGTATCTAAATGATGTGTTATTATGGAATACCAATTGTCCATCTCAATTGACCTACGTGTATATATATATTTGGTAAATGGTCTTATATTGTGTACAACAGGAGTTATCTCAGAAAATAAAATGGGGAATTATCAAGAAAATTAATGCTAGATAAATCATGGTTATCAAGATCAATAGGGATTAGGAACAGGGAGATTTAAATTCATGGAGATTAGGATGGTCAGAGATATTGTTAGGACACCTGGACAAGGAAACGTGGGCTGATGAGGAGAGAGTAAAAATAGATAAGCAGATGGGAAGAAAGAAAAAAATAAACTAATGAGAACGAATCAGAGAGGTCAATGAAGAGAAAAAAAAAAAATAATAGCAGAAGTATGTGGAAAATAAAAATAAATGTGAGATATCCCTCTGTAGGGGAGTGAGGAGAGAACTTAACTGTGAGTGGAGACAGGGAAATAGGAACTACTAAGGGCAAGACTCTCGAGTAGTGAGATATAAAGGGACTCTTAGGACGAAAGTAAGAAAAGAAAGGAACCAGAATCTGGAGGGGAAAATCTGAAAGTTATCATGCTTCTTTGAGGTAACATTTGCTAATTAATCGTTTATAGCAAATTCATTAAGTTATATATCATTATCGGCCGGTTTGTGGTGTGTGAGTGGTCATCATGTGGTCGAATATTGCACAATAAATTGATATGTATAGTGAGTGTCCTGTGCATGATAGTTTTTGTGTATTTCTTAATGCTGAACTGTGTGCTCCAGTTGGGAGTAGTGTGTGGGGCCACTGTTAGGGCCGAATAAGTTTATATTGGTGTCAGAGTACTCTGTGCATGATATTTTTGTATGTTACTTGATGCTGAATTGTGTGCTCCAGTTGGTAGCAGTGTATGTGGTTGCTGTTAAGGCCGGATGGTGTTAAATTGTCCTTGGGTGGTTGTGTATCAGAAAGGGATTATATGCTAGTTTTAGGGATAGCGAGGAGTGCTTTCAGGACCCGAAAGTGTGGTATAGGCAGTTCTGATTGTGATTGAGAGAGAGGAAAGAATCTTTGGGAAAAGAAGATCTATGGTAAGGAGAATAGTGCTACCAGTACAGGGAGATAAAGAAAAAGATACTTGGAGGAACTGGGAGGCAGAGACAGAGTGTGAGAAGATGGGAAGAGAATGAAGGATGAATACATAAATCTGGTAGGACTGGAAAGTTGAGACAAGTCGAGTGAATTTGGAAAGGAAGATAGACTAAGAAGGAAAATATCTAGAGTAGTGAGTGAGGTACTGCCTGATGGAAAAAGGGGCTAGGATGGGAAAATAAAAAATTTGAAAAACAGCAAAAGTTTACAGAGATGCCTTTACAGAGGGAAGAAAGCGAATAATAAATTCTTAGATGTGAAACAGAGGGGAATTTAGGGGAATAATAGAGGTGAACAGTGTGGAATTTTAAAGTGTGCAGAGAGGTGAACAAGAAAGAGTATAGGGATGTAACCAAATTTTTAAGGCAGTTGCAGATTTCAAATTGTAGGTTTGAATTTTAAATTTGACTTACTGGGCATGCAAACTCATTACTATTTTATTTACATATGCAGTGAAGTAGAATCATATTTAGGAACTACCGATAACGGATCCCATTACCTAGAGGATTTAGAGGGTGCTGAGAGGAGTAGTCCAGGATATAATACCTTCACATTTACCCACACACACATAGAAACAGATTTGGTATATTTGTATTTTGAATATTTTGTTTTCGTTCCTTTTTGCTGTTGTGGAACATGATGACTGTGCCTTTTAAGAGGATGGGATATATGTATGTAGTTGAAAGTGTAACAAGTGTATGGATGATTATATTTTGAAATGAGAAGGATCATGTTGTGTTATACTGAATGGTTATATTAGAGGAACATACTACATGAGAATGTAAGGAGCTCGTGACCATGTAGGGGTACAGGACGTTACAGATGGCATCAGAGCGAACGTTCCTAGGACAACCCTTGTTGTGTGAGGCGTAGGACCTTGTGAGGGTTAAGAAGTTAGATAATACAAATTTTAAGACATTTGTTATGAGAAGATAATTTGACAACTAAAACATTGGTGCATGTAAGAGATAGGGATAAGAGAATGAGATTATGGGAATTTGAAGTTTCCAAGAGTAGGGCGTAATTAAATTAAGATATGACAGATGTAGGAATTATGATAGATATGACTTTACCTCAAACCAGCTGGAGAACGATGAATTCAACTTAACTGTTGAATTTTCCAATTGTGTGGTACATTAGGAGGTTGAATTTGGGTAAATAAGGAAATATGAGTTAAGTGTATTATTAGATTGATTTAAACTAATCTGAAATTTTTTTATGGTTATGATACCGGTGGTGCAATGTGCAGGTGTAAATGGCCATTACAGAGGCCGTGAAAACTGATCATGGTATGGGTTGAGAGGTGTTTTGTTGAGTTTTGTTCAGCAAATATCTCATTAATATGTAATTGAGTATGTGTGTGAAATACATGAATAATGCCTGCATGGGATGATTTTTGTTTACTCTGTAATTACCATGATGTTATGAATGTGTGTCTGTGGTGGAACCAGGTAAAAGGGTTTCGATGATTTGGTATCTCTGTGCATATACAATTTGGAAATACCATAAGATAGAATTGATTAAGACTGGGATGGGTATGATTTGGAGAGGGGAAAATAATGAGAACTTGAAAAGAAATAAAAGAAAAGGGAATGCAGACCAGACGGGTCTGCCAAAAAATTAATGAGTGCAGCTGAAGGGAGAGACAGAAAGGTGGATATGAGAGAGAGCAGGCCTTTTGGATCTGCTTGAGATGGAGCAATGTAGGATAAGGGAATGGCTGAGAAAGGTGAACAGAGAGAGAGAGCAGGCCTGATAGTGTGGCATGGTAAAAAACCACCAATAAACACCTATGGAAATTCAAATCCCTAAGGAGGGATTTAGCCTAATAAGGAAAAAAATAAATTACAAATAGGATGGTAAATTTCACCAAGAACAGGAAGTAACAATGGGAGCGGCCAAACCCTAGTAGCAATTTAAAAAAAAAACACAGCACCTATTTAAGAAAGGAAGAAGAAAATAGAAACATCCTAATGAGATCCTTGTATAACTATCTAGGACCCATAGCCATAGGTCTCCTAGTTTATGGATTGCAAATCTTAATAGACCTAAACTAAGCTGTTCGCAAGATAATTGACCCTAAGGAGTTTGAAAATAATAAGAATCAACTAGAGGGGGTATTTTGCTTGCATACCAAATCATTGAGCTAGAAGGAAAAATTTTGATGACATAAACACCAACTTTCCAAAATCCACCAACACTTAAATTCTGGAAGCTAACAGAAAACACCACTAAGGTAATGTAAATTATTTTGGGTAGAAAGTAAACACGAAAAGAAGGCCGAGGTTACTAAGATAAGGAATTGCCATTGCATGTGGTGGAGTCAAATGACTCATTTTGGAAAGGAATAGAGTAACTCTGTTTAGATCCCTATTAGTGCCCATAATAAACATTTACCAACCTTTTGTAGGAAACAAACATTCCATGTCAAGATAAAGAAACCATAGTATCAGATCATGCTCTTAAGTACCAGGATAAAGTGTGCCCTAGATATAACTCCTAGTCGGATCCTGACCTTGTTACAGAGAGTCTTTTCAACAGGAAAAAAAAATCCAAACAACTGAACATCCAAAGGAACGAGTGTACCTGGTAAGAAATGTTTCCTAAAATATTTTGTTCCTTACTAACTTCACTTTCTAAAGAAAGATAACCTTTTGAAGACATGTTCCGTAATATAATAAAAAAAAGCTTAATGTGTTTCCCAGGATATGGTTCCATTAATTCTAAGTGGAATATCAAGTTATACAAAATACAAATGTACCTAGATAGAGCTCTAAAGTAAATATTATCATAGTAGCACAGTGGAATTAAGGCAAGCCCTAATTTATAACATATAATTGATATCTTAGAGCCATGTCTAAGGTTACTATCTTGTGCCTTTGAGAACCAAAGGTGTAACACCCATACTTGAAAAGAATGAAACAACTAAAATAAAGTCAATCATGATAAGATTACTCAGTGATTCCTCCATCAAACACTCCTAATAATTTTCAGTCATAACACTTATGGATGTCATACTTTCCTGCTTAAAGGATGCTAAGAAAAGATAATCAAGTGCTAAGAGATTTTGGAAAACCCTGCAAACTTGATGGAATTTAGAAGAACACTATGACTCAACCAAAAGTAGATTGCTTAGACATCAAGTCCCTTGGGTAAGTGAAAAGAAGTTTGGCTACCAAAATAATACTTTCAAATTTCCAAAGTGATATCCAGGATTCAGAAAACCTTACTATTAGTGGATTGTTATATATGAGAATGGAAACATATATGGCTATTTAGAGATCATGAAAAAATAAATGTATGTTTTGGTAATAATTCAAGATTATGTGGACTAGAGATCATGGAAAATAATTTCTAAGATATTCACATATTAATTTTTTAAAGTCAGAATATAGGCAATTTTTATGGGGCATATGCACGTTGGAAAAGACATAAACATAACATAGCATTGAGGTCACTTATGTAACTAAGAACTTAATCTTGTGGTGAGAAGCGAATACAAAGTATATTACTAAGAGACTTGTCATGATGAGAATCAAACAAAGATATGATGTTCACAGACAGTGCTTGATAGTGATGATAATGGCATAGATTATTGTTGGGAGATAATAGGCTCTAATGAGTTTTGAGGATCAATATAATCCAAAATAATAGTCCTATGTGAAGATGAAGTATTATTAGGAGAGAAATAGTGAAGTACCATCAAATCCCCTTAGGTCTTAAAATCACTAAGGTCGGAAGTTAATTCTAGATAAATGTACCTTTACTTTAGGAA